CTATATAAATGCAATCCATTATTATTATTATTATTATTAACAACAACTGGTTATAAGCTAACATGATGCCAGCTAATGTTAGGCTCCTAAAAATCATGCTTTGAATGTGATAAATAGTTTATTCACTAAGTGTCCAAGTCCAACAATGTTTGGTGTTTTACTGTGTTTTACAATGTTTTACTGATACCAACTAACAGCAGCTAACAGCAGCTAACAGCTGCAAAAACAACTGTGTTTACCGGCAGAAAAGCACAGGATATCTTCAACTCACCTTAGTGTGGTTGTTATTGGTCAGTTTCATTGACTCATCAACTCATATTGAAACTCTTTTTTTTTTTTCAGATTTTTACAGCTTCCTCCAGCGTAAATACATGTGGACACCCAGCATATTGAGAAGCTACACTCACTACAGACGAATTGTTTGTCCTACTGAGGCCACCAACAGAACTCAGTTGACAGCAATCTACAATTGACTAAAATATGGTGGTGAGATTTTACACACTATAACTTTAAGACATTACCTTTAGACAATGAGCGGAGATGTATTCAGAACTTTCCAGTTAGCATAAATTTAGAAAAGGCCCCTGCATGTTTTTCATATGTGCTAAACTACATGTCGGGACGCAGTCTGCGAGTACATGACTGGCCTGTTTGGCATTGTTGACGTCCTACTGTGCATGTCTAACTACTTTTTCACTGCAATTCCTGAATTTATCAATGAGAGAATAACTATTATAGCCTCAGTATAACAGTAAAAAATCAAAGCATCAATATAAAGACTCACAAATGTCGGCAGATTCCTGGAAGGACGCAAATAAATATGAGGGAATGTAGTGTCTGACAGGTTAGGCGCATTTTAAAAGTGATTTAGGTTTCATCATGTTGATAATTGCCTGATAAATAGCAGCAGCAAAAACAGAAAACCATTTCAAAGAGAGGAAAAATGGAGAATAATTTCATCATTTTCCCTCGCTGCAGCATATGCTGTGTTTTAATAACTGTTTTTTTTATTGCAGGCAGAAGAATGTACTAATTGCAAACACATTAACTGGGAAATGAGCCCCTGCTGAGGTAAAAGGAGAATATTATCATTTCTTGTAGGCGCATACATTCCACTTTTCACACTTTTGTGACTGTAAAATGTGAGTGCTAGTGCTCTACTTTATAACTCAAAGGAATGAATTTTTCATTTTCTGGAAAAATTCATTCCTTTGAATTATAGAAAAGGAGTCCCACGCACTGTCAACTCTCTGGCACGTTCTGCATTGAAGGTCCAAGGTGCCGTATATGTTGAAGGCTGCGGTCTGAAACAGTTTTGAATGGGAATGCTTGGGAACTGAAAAGACATGCAGAACATCACGTTCTTTTGGTCCAGGTTGTTCACCAGGATCAGCCCTGCAACAGCACTGAGAACAATTTTGAAAGAAGACCTTAAACAGGAATGTAAGATGGGAAACATTGCAGAATGTCATTCATTTTATTTATATTGGATGTCTCTACAATTATTGAAGAGAAAATTAGTAACCGACTTAATATGCATGCATACATACATGTGCATGCATGCATCATACGCTTGATGCTAAAAGCATGCTGGATATGTGCTAGCTGTCTAAATAATCAGGTACAGGAAAAGGTTTTAAAAAAAGTGTGCAGTACTAGAAGCAGCACAGCATTACAGACGGAAATATATGAACATCACGAAGCATTCAGCAGCTAAAGAGACAGATGGTTCCCTCAGGAGTTTGAGGAGCCTAAACCCAGGAGTAACACAGGGGCGGATCTAGAACGGTGGCAATGGGGTGACAAGGGCCACCCTAAAATGATGTCTTGCCACTCTTAGTACCACCCTAGTTTTGCTTAAGACAGACTTGTTTAATAAAATAAGATACTTTGAGGGTAGTTACAGTTAGCAGTGAATATAAATTCTAAAACTGAATATATTGCATAGTGTTACCTGCCTCCACCATTAACAAATGGTTCAGCCCATAGCACAGACTGTTCAGTAGCAACAATGCCTAGGATTGTGCCAGAGCACATTTTGAACAACACCATAGGGGGAATTTCAGGTTGTTACATGCTGGAAATGGAATGAAGGTGAGTGTTATTAACCCTCTGGGGTCCACGGACACGCTGCACCTCCGAATCACATGACTGATTTAAGCTGACATAGCAACAAGTCTCTATTTCAGCCCTTGTTAAAAGTTCAGACTTCAAAGTATGCTCCGGTTTTTAAATTTTAATT